GCCAAGTATCGGTGTTCCGTGGAACAGATCAGAGATATAATTCTCCAGATTATCTGGTTTGAACCTCACTAGGATCTCGATGTTTCTCTCCTGGCCGAGCGTTGGTAAGTACTTCCTGTAAAACTCTCTGTATTCTGGTACAAGTTTCTTCGCTATCGAGACCTTCAGTTCGTCTCTCAGTGTCGCGTCTGGTACAACCCGTGATGATTGTTTCATATATGTTTCCTCAAATGCCGTGTGGAATCTTCTGAAATATATTTTGGCTTCCTCTGGTGATAGGTCTGTGGGTTCCTCTGGTAAAGACATGAAAACATTGGACCATGCTGCTATCTCATAATTCGCAGCGTAAGCGCCGAGTTTATCTTCGTGCTTAGTGAGCCAATCATCTCCAAGGAGTTCCCTCAGCTGAGTTGAACGAACCGTTTCAACGATGAACTGAAGGTTGTTTGCAAGGAAGAGGTAAGATAGTGAAACGTCCTTGTAGTGCTCTGCTTTGGTGTCTAGTTTGCATAGCAAGACCAGGATGAGCCAAGCAAAATGGACCGAGAGTGCGTGATTGTGTTGTTCATCTTCTAAGATTGGAGTTCTGACATAAGATTCTAGCCAACTGTTGTTTCTCGGAAGCGGATGGTCTGCAACTATATCAGACAAGACAGAGCTGTACTCAGAAAGGGAAGAGATGAAACTCATTGTTGTTCTGGTCAGCTTGTGAATCCCTCCTCCAGGTGTAAGGGCTTTCGTCGAATCCTTTTGAATGGTTGCCTCAAAATCTATGAGAGCACTGTGGATTGAAACCTTAAGCTTTTGAAGTGATGTGAGCGCCTGAGATTTCACACCAGCAACTGAATCGAAGTGGAATATCATCTCTATGTCCTGCCATAGATCAGAGATCGCAGCCTGGAGATCCATTAGCGGAAAGATCCTCTCATGAGATTTCTTCTCCTTGGCAACAAATTCAGGGAACTTGAAAAGGTTAGTGGCTGCTTCGTTTGCAATCTCGTAAAAGCATGACTCTCTCGTTGAGTTTGAAGCAGAAAAGACATGATCACATAGACGTTTCTCTCCGCGGAAGAGCGTGGCAACTCCAATCTTTGTAGCTTTTATCCAGTTCTTGATCATATGCTCGAGCGTGACCCAGTCTGTTCTGTGGAATCTTGAGCCTTTGTAGATTTCGACCCCAAGCAAGCTCAGTCCTTCATCTACTATCGATTTTCTGATCCGCTTATAAATCTTTACGCATTCTTTACCATATCCGCAACTGATCATACTCTCTGCTATCGCCTTCAGGTCAGACATTACCACAGCTGAAGCTTTCTCAACCTGAGTGATCGATTCACCAGCTT